CAATAGAGTAGATAGGTATAACAATGCATGTTAAATAAGTTTTGTTGATATCTGTGTAAGCAATAAAGAAGAGAAGATAAGCTGACTTTTTGTAATTTATTCATTAATCATTATACACAGCCATTACAAATCACCCACAAATTAACGAAACGTGTATACACATTTACTTGTAAGACAGTCAAAACTTAATCTGTATGGGTTAAAGTTATAAACGTTATTTGCATGGAACAAAAAAGAGTCGAGTTGCACATGTTTGCGAGCAAAACATCACAGAAGATATATCAAATGGGCAGATAATCTTGCTCAAGATGTGGTGCAAACGAATAAATCAGGTCTAAGTTTCGATGAATACATCCGCTCGTCTGCGTCTGCGCAACAAACTCGTATTAGATGTGACGTCAGTTAAAGTTTCTGTAGCACAGTTATATGTTTGATTTAATTCGTGTACAAACCTTACATATATTTTATTTTTTCTTCAGATTAATGTTCAATTTTTTCTGTGAAAACTCGAATAATAATGACCGACAAAAAATAATGAGGACGAAAAAATGACATCACATTATCATGGCCTAAAACGGTGCCTACATATTCGGATACCTAATTCTTTAACGCATTAACACCTCCAACAAAATCATTATTACAAATATTTGAAATATCTCCTTAAAATACTGCTGACATTGGACCAAACAAATCCGTTGAATTGCCACTTACATGTATTAAGCTAGCTATTTAGTTACGTGTTAAAAGTATTGAATGCTTTGATAACCTTAATATCATATTAGATTATTTAGGTGATATGTTCGATCCGTCTATCAGTTCATTTCTAGTTTAAAAAACACTATAAAGAATAAAGATATATTCTGAATAAGCGGAACATGATATGTCGGCATTTTCCTCATTAACACGCGCCAAACAAAAAATATTTGATGCAATTGACACGATATGTTAGTATTGACATTTATTTGTTTCAAAAATTAAAACCTGTTTTTTTAATTAGGTATTTTAACGATTGGATGCAATTTTCCAATTAGTTTTACAGCTCTTTATTAAACCGCTAACATAGCCCATGTTTCCTTTGCTTAAAACTGATAAAAACGTAATTACAGATTAACCATATGAAATAAATATAATAATACAATATGTCTTCTTACGTAAAAATATTACAATAATACAAATGTTTGAGGATGCAAATAAAATGACAACACCACAAAAATAATTCTTAATGATTAACAAGTATAAGCTTTCATTTAAAAAGGCACATTTTTAATTCTTCAATGATACGCATTTTATATTGTTATCAAACACCAATGAACCACAAGAATCACGTGATGTCATTATGATAATGAAGCTCTTAATTCAAGTATTTTATATACAAAACATATGGGTCAAAGAAGTAATATAGACGGTACAATCCAACATAACACTGGATCCTAATGCAATATACAATACATATATAAATATACTCTTTTTTACAATTTTTTAAATCAAATTTGATCTAAGTGTGAATACAAACGGTAGTAGGAATAGTGTGTTCACTATCCTGAAGTGTACAGGAGCTCTATCAGCTCCCGTATTGGACACTAACTTTAACTTTAACAACACACAAAACTAGTTTTATCTTACTACATTTTGTTCATTTGAAAATTGATATTAGTAGAATTGATTTATATTGATACCATATATGGTGTTTAATCTAATATAACTAATAAATAACACATGTATAGCAGATTGCCCTCAGTGATAGTTTTAAGGCATATATTTATATTAAATAGTTTACCTTGTTCATATCGAGAAAATTGTCTTACACTTTCAACTTTGGATTCTTGTTCTAATTTACTAAGCTATATTAACGGAGGCCTGTTAGTTTTAATTTGAAATTACAAGATAACGTACGCATTAAAACGAGATAAAAATAGCTTTTTAAGTTTTAGTCATCTAAATAGACTTCCGTATTGATTTGATCTTTTGATTACAAAAATGTATCTGTGTGTACATTAATCGACTAAACAAAATGACAAAATTATATATGTACAAAAAAATCATAGAAAGGTATTTTTCCTCAGATATTTAGATTAAGTTTGTTTCCAATCAACTTTCCCTACTTACTCAACCGTATACAGAATACAGTGATATGTTAGCGCTTCCTACAGTGTATTCCTTCCAAAGGACACAACACAGCATTGAGATGAAACGTATATAGGCTATAACAGTTCTGTACAATACAAATACTCTTCAATACACATATACATAACATATCTTTAATAATTTCGTTATCAAAATGAAAAAAACCCAAATAAGTTTCTTTGATAAGATGTCAATGTCATGCGCAACATTTCTCTCACATGTGAAACGTAATGTAATCTCCCAACTAACAAGCGTCAACGTTATGTGAAACTGTCAACTAACATGTGCCAATGCTATGTGAAACTGTCAACTAGCATGCGCCAATGCTATGTGAAACTGTCAACTAACAAGTGCCAACGTTATGTAAAACTGTCAACTAACATCCGCCAAGGTTAATTAAAACTGTCAGCTAAGATGCGCCAATGATAAGTGAAATTGCCAACTAACAGGTATCAATAGTATGTGAAACTTTTAACTAACAAGTGCCAACATTATGTAAAACTGTCAACTAGCATGTATCAATGTTATGTGAAACTGTCAGCTTACATGCACCAACGTTATGTGAAACTGTCAACTAACATGTGCCAATGTTATGTGAAATTGTCAACTAACATATGTCAATGTTATGTGAAACTGTTAACTAACATGCGCCAATGTTATTTGAAATTGTCAACTAACATGTGCCAATGTTATGTGAAACTGTCGGCTAACATGCGCCAATGTTATGTGAAACTGTCAGCTAACATGTGCCAACATTGTGTGAAACTCTCCTCTCACATGTCACGTTATGTGAAATTCTCCTCTCACATGTCACGTTATGTGAAACTCTCATCTCACATGTCACGTTATGTGAAACTCTCATCTCACATGTCACGTTATGTGAAACTCTCCTCTCACATGTCAGCGTCTTGTGAAACTCTCCTATCACATGTCACGTTATGTGAATTTCTCCTCTCACATGTCACGTTATGTGAAACTCTCATCTCACATGTCACGTTATGTGAAACTCTCATCTCACATGTCTGCGTATTGTGAAACTCTCCTCTCACATTTCTGCGTCTTGTGAAACTCTCCTTTCACATGGCAGCGTCTCGTGAAACTCTCCTCTCACATGTCAGCGTATTGTGAAACTCTCATCTCACATGTCAGCGTCTTGTGAAACTCTCCTCTCACATGTCACGCTATGTAAAACTCTCTTTTCATATTTGTCAATATCATTTGAAAATCACGTTTTTCTCAAACGTGTCCACAGGCTTTAAAGCGGCTCATCGACAAGTTCAAAATGTTATCAAAACCAAATAACATATAATATTTTATTTACAAAGAAACATAAGGTATATTCTACATGCATGCTAACAATTGTTATACAACGCAAACTTATATACACAGGTATATGTATTTAAACCAATGAGGTTTATGTTTGAATAAAACTTGCAAACATTGTATAACCACCAGACACTTACACGGGTATTGGATTTAAAACACCAATGATATTATTCAGCATATACATTCTTTGTTTATATCTGCTGACAAACAAAAATGTCCAATAACAAAGAGTCTATTGCAAAAATATAGACTGTATTCCAAAACCTATAAAATACTGTTTGTTCGTCGTTTGTGATGCGGATGAACGATATGTACTGAAGATTGATTTCAATATGTACATAATGAACGTAATTTTGAAATGGCAATGTCAGTTCCTGGGTGTGTAGAACCTGTTAGTATTATGGGAGTATACAATTCCTACACAATCCTGATGACAATGCTAACTAGAACACCGACAGGTCAGTAAGGGCCCCGTCTTGTGGCAATATATCTCCCATAATCATCAACAAGTGATCTGCCCATAAAGCTGAGCTTGACGTTTGACATTTGGACTTCAAAAAGAATCGCAAGGAAGCAAAATATACATTTTACATGTACTATAATGTGAGTCTAGTTTCCTTCCACCTCCATATTTGCTGGGCTAACAGAAATGTAAATACCAGTGCAACACTCATTTGATAGCTTTGATTTGTTTTATTTCACCTCATATACCTCCTCCATCAAGACCCAGGGTCAAAGTCAGAGATCCACTTTGTCTTTGACCTTTTGACCCAAATGACCTTGACCATTAACCCAGTGACCCTGATCTTTGGTCAGTTGACTTATTCTTCAAGTCAGACCAACTTTACTTCTTAATATCATAACAAAATGTTCATCAGTGAAAAATACAAAACTTGACCTTGACCCTTTGGACCCAGTGACCTTGACCTTTGGTCAATTGACTCCTTGTTTAATTCTGAGCAACATTGCTTCAAAGTGTCAAAGCGAAATGTTCACCAGTGATAAGATACAAAATTTAACCTTGACATTTGTCCCAATGACCTTGACCTTTGGTCAGTCGACTCATTGTTTAATTCTGATCAATTTTGCTTCATCATGTCATAACAAAATGTTCATCAGTGAAAAGATGCAAAATTTGACCTTAACCTTTGAATCTAATGACCTTGACCTTTGACCTTGCCATTTACCTCAGTGTGTCTCTTTGTTTAATTTGGAACAACTTTGCTTCATAATGTCATAGCGAAATGTTCACCAGTGAAAAGCTACAAAAATTGACCCTGACCCCTGACCCGATGACCTTGACCTTAGGTCAATTGACTCCTTGTTTAATTCTGATCAACTTTTCTTCATAAGGTCATACAAAAGATGTAAAATTTGACCTTGACCTTTGAACCTAATGACCTTTTCCTTTGACCTTGACTTTTCACCTCAATGTGTATTTTTGTGAACTTCACATCTTGACCAAGTTTTATATACATCGGTCCATAGATACCAAAGTTATCAGCCAGGAACAAAATTTGTTGACGGACAGACAGACAGACAGACAGACAGATTGATTACTATAGGGCACCCGTATCTCCGATACGGGGCCCTAATAACGATGTGTATTTAATCAATGCTTATTAAACAAGTAACAGATGTTCCAAATTCAATCAGAAACGATTAATTTAGTCCAATCTTTTAACTAAAAGTATGCTGACCTTTGACAGATTTTTACAGTATGTAAATGGCACGACAGGTCACGCTGAGGAATCATCACTCTCAAGGCTGCAAAGAGAACACAATCTAAATGTATATATATAAACATAAATACACTGTTATTTTCCAATGCCAGGGTTATGTAAGACTGTTAATAGCAGTATACACGTTTGACCACTATTAAGTTGATATATTGAGTTGTTTAATTCATCGAACAACAGGTTTATTCATCATAGAACAGTTTATTTCATATTGCTTAATTGATGTATGGTTTTACGCTTAAGAACTTCTGTTAACCGGCCAAAACATTTTTCAACTATTTTGACATGATTTTCGAATAAATTATATCAGTAATTGATAAATACTATGACGTCATCAATAAAGGAAACTGTTAATTTTACGTCTACTGAAATAGATCTCATCAAATTACTCCTTAATAAATTCGGAAATAATGAAATACAATTTGCGAATAATGGATGAGGTTTGTAATTGCCCATCACATTACAGGTTTATTGAACAATGGATAATTGGTGTGTATAGTTTTTTTTTTTTTTTTATCTAACCCGCAGACTATTAAAACGGGAATATAAACTTTGTCTGCAGCAGGACGCTCTACCACCTACATGGCCTATCGCTTTGTCAGATGGACATTTGAAGGCTGGTTTTACATTTTAGAATGATATAACTTTGGTGGAGACAGAACAATAGAGATCGTATCTAAATTGTCAAATGGTAGAAAAATCAATAACCATTTCTGTTAGATCCTTTCAGTAAGTTATCTTCAAAGGACAAACAAGTAATGGCAGCAACTGGCTAGTTGGTGGGGAAGGCCATCGGTTACGATCACGCCGTTGTGATATAAAAAATCTATCTTCAATTTTTCCAAAAATAGCTGGTGATAATAGAATAAAATCAGTAAGTGCGTTAAGTAACGATTTCAATACATACCTTTATGTTTTTCTTTGCTGTCGACGTCTCCCTGTGATTTTCCATTATCAAACCTGGCTTCCTGTTCGACTTCTACTGCTAAACCGGAAATAACCTCGTAAGCGGTCTTTCGTCGAGCTCGACATGCGCCAGGAGGCAAATAGGACAGGATTGATGCACGTGGAGAGGAATCCAAAAACAGTGAATGTCGTATACGTGATGTCGAAATGGCCAGTGTTGTTACCGTTCTCATGGACGAAAAATTGTACCAAAATCAAAATATTCAGAGGGCACCAACACATCGCAAACAGTGTTACCATGGTGATAAGATAATTTTGGGTTCTCTTTTCCTTAACGAGGTCAATGTCATCATCACTATCCTGTGTGGTGCCGTCGGCGTAGTCCTTTGGAGACCTTGATTCGCTACTCGGGACGTCTGTGTCGCAGCGTGAAGACTCAGTATCAGGATCAGCCCATCGGATGCGCGAGTTATACGATTGTTCGGAATGCGTGCACAATTCCGATGGCGCTGAGAAATGAACCGATAGAGATACCGTCTCAAGTGATTTCAGCTCTGCAGAAACTTTCACACAGAGGAATCCAATAACAGCTAAAGGCATTGCATACAATGTCACAAACATGGCGCGGATGTACTCCTCAATGTGACGTTCCTGGTTTACATAACAAATGCCAACTCCATCAAAACGGTCACCCAAAATGGATCCAAGGTCAATATAGCGGAGATAAACGGCAAAAGGCAACACGAGACACACAGCCGCCACCCAAACCCCAATTATACACAGCCCCGCTGGCGCTCGAGCTTTAAATGGGGTTACTATCAAACGGTACCTGTCAATGGCTATCATCAAGTAGGTCAACATTGTGGAATGAATTGGAAAGCATTGCATCATAGGGAGAAAGAAACACAAAAAGCTTCCAAAGACCCAATTCCCGATTAATAAGTTAGACAAAGTGACAGGCAGGACGAACATACACTTAATTAGGTCTGAGAAGGCAATGTTTCCTAAGAAGAAGAATGTTTGGTCCTTGTACAATCCTCGTTTTCCGATGACAACGAGAATGGCGATGTTTCCAACCAATCCGAACACTCCAACAATAGCATGGAGGAACATAAATAAGGGGTAAACATAACGCAAGGAACGCCGCACGTGCGGTTGTGTGAAATCAACACCCTCTGTACTGTTGTTATCATGTATCCATTTGAGAATAAGGCCTATGTAGGTTTCCTGTCCATCAATAAGTGCCATGGTAACAAGCGTGTCTTGTCAACCTGATATTAAGTTGAAATCCGAAGTATGCACGTGTGACTTATGTGATAATTAGAAGAAATTTGCTAAATATACATCCGAGGTTGTTTAAGTACTGACACCACCGGAAGGATTGCGCGCATACAGTTGTTTGTAACCGGAATTGCTGGTTGAAACGAAGACACCTGCAACAGAAATTCATAGGAAGAAATATTCAAAATTAAACTTTAGACAATCAATTAATTTTCTTCTAACAAAGCAACATAAACATGTATTATAAATAAATAATACCACAGTTATATAACCAAATAATGTACGAAACATTCACCATACAGCGTCTACACAAAAGGTCAAAATTGACTACAGAGTCAGAAAAGGTGACACTAAATGTACCACAACATGGAACACTAAGGTCAGAAAAACACCATATATGGTTTTATTTCATTTTAAGACCCGTTGCACACTTACATAAGGTAGGGTCAGAATACAATGTAACAATGTTAAACTGACTGTAAATTACAAGTGATACAAGAGCGACGACAAAAACAACAAATGTTAAATAACAATTAATATATATTTGTTAGGTAAGGCGTCTCTTGTCGTAAAAGTACATATTGTAATAAACCCTTTAAAAATGAAAATAATACTGACGGTGTTTTTTTTTTATAATAATAGGAGCATACAAGTAGCAGCGATTAAAACAAATGAACAGCTTTTCATGTTTTATGATGAATGCAAATACAAATTTTAATTAAATGTCTTTCATTTTAAATCTGTGTTGATATTTTTTTGATTTCTTAAGTGAAAAATATTGAGAAATCTCGAGCTATCGAGTATTTGTTGTTACCTCTCAAAATTTGATACAAATTTGAAATTGATTTTACATCATGATGTTTGGTGATCAAAACAAAACCAGATGTTGTATGTTATAAAGTATATGTCACTTCCACACACCACTTCCTTCTATGTGAAATAGTATATTACACTATACTTAACGTGGCAATACTGCGTGTGCGATACCAACACGCCCATCCGAACTACAAACAGTAATTAAAACGCTGTCAAGAGACGTTCAATAACAGATGGCAGCCAAAAGGTTATTAGTTTGCTATCTATGAGTCAAAGGTTTCTAAGTGTTTGAATATATTATGTGTATACAGATAAATACATCCAGATAATTTATGACAACGCGTCTTTAAAATATTACAAGGGAGCATATCAAACAGAAACAACATGTTATTGATCTGTTTACTATGGAAGGAATGGAATAGATATGATTGTTTGAATGTTTTAATATACACGAACGACTGCATGCCTATATAGTTGAGATTACATACAAATAAATAAATGACAATTGAAACAAAATCTTACGGTTTATAAGCTCCAAACTTCTGAATTTCTCTCAAAGACAGAGACATAAACATGACCACATCATCGCATAATAAAATCATCTATAATCACAATACATACCTAGGTACATGTATCAGTGTCACGTTAAATCAGTAGCCGTCAGAACGTACCGTACTGTCGGTACAATAACACACGACGGTAGATGCACTGCAGACTAGATCGATTCACATCTGGTCAGTCTAGAAACCCTGACTATTTATCACAAGACTGGAATAGTCTCAAATTAATATTCGCTTACTCCAAAGGTCATTGAGGTGATGGTGCTGTAATTGCGATGACAATCCTGTGTCGCCATGGTAACCAAACGTAAAATAATATTAGAACGTAATCTCCATGGGTTCTGTTACTTCGATGAACTAAAATTGATCTCTAATTTTGAATTTGACAAATCTAAAGTTTCGGAGAACAATTATTGTAATTTAAACAGAATATCATTGACAGCGATTTTATCGAATCTGTCATATTGTTCAAAGCATTATTCCTTGTTGTGTAAGCAAGGATAAACATATAGCACTAAAAGGGAACAGTCAAGATATTGTCGACTATTTGTCATAAGTTGAGCTTTAGAACGGGAATTATTTCAAACGAATGCAAATATTGATATGAGGAGAACCTTAGCATGGAATACACAGCCAGCTTGTAGGACATGGTGGCAGGTTCAAAGCAACAACAGGGACCTAAGGGGTACCAAAGACAACATAAAGACAACAACAGGAACCTTAGGGGTACCAAAGACAACATAAGGACAACAACAGGGACCTAAGGGGTACCAAAGACAACATAAAGGCAACAACAGGAACCTAAGGGGTACCAAAGGCAACATAAAGACAACAATAGGAACCTAAGGGGTACCAAAGACAACAAAAAGGCAACAACAGGAACCTAAGGGGTACCAAAGGCAACATAAAGACAACAACATAAACCTAAGGGGTACCAAAGACAACATAAATACAACAACAGGAACCTAAGGGGTACCAAAGGCAACATAAAGACAACAATAGGAACCTAAGGGGTACCAAAGACAACAAAAAGGCAACAACAGGAACCTAAGGGGTAACAAAGACAACATAAAGACAACAACAGGAATCTAATGGGTACCAAAGACAACAAAAAGACAACAACGGGAACCTAAGGGGTACCAAAGACAACATAAAAGCAACAACAGGAACCTAAGGGGTACCAAAGGCAACATAAAGACAACAACATAAACCTAAGGGGTACCAAAGACAACATAAAGTCAACAACAGGAACCTAAGGGGTACCAAAGATAACATAAAGACAACAACAGGAACTTAAGGGGGACCAAAGACACCATAAAGACAACAATAGGAACCTAAGGGGTACGCACCAAAGACAACATAAGGACAACAACAGGAACCCAAGGGGTACCAAAGACAACATAAGGACAACAACAGGGACCTAAGGGGTACCAAAGACAACAAAAAGACACCAACAGGAACCTAAGGGGTACCAAAGACACCAAAAAGACAACAACAGGAACCTAAGGGGGACCAAAGACAACAAAAAGACAACAACAGGATCCTAAGGGGTACCAAAGATAACATAAAGACAACAACAGGAACTTAAGGGGGACCAAAGACACCATAAAGACAACAATAGGAACCTAAGGGGTACGTACCAAAGACAACATAAGGACAACAACAGGAACCCAAGGGGTACCAAAGACAACATAAGGACAACAACAGGGACCTAAGGGGTACCAAAGACAACAAAAAGACAACAACAGGACCGTGGCAGGTTCAAAGCAACAACAGGGACCTAAGGGGGACCAAAGACAACATAAAGACAACAACAGGAGCCTAAGGGGTACCAAAGACAACAAAAAGGCAACAACAGGAACCTAAGGGGTAACAAAGACAACATAAAGACAACAACAGGAATCTAATGGGTACCAAAGACAACAAAAAGACAACAACCGGAACCTAAGGGGTCAACATAAAGACAACAACAGGAACCTAATGGGTACCAAAGACATCATAAAGACAACAACAGGAACCTAAGGGGGACCAAAGACAACATAAGGACAACAACAGGGACCTAAGGGGTACCAAAGACAACAAAAAGACACCAACAGGAACCTAAGGGGTACCAAAGACACCAAAAAGACAACAACAGGAACCTAAGGGGCACCAAAGACAACAAAAAGACAACAACCGGAACCTAAGGGGTACGTAACAAAGACAACATAAAGACAACAACAGGAACATAAGGGGTACCAAAGACAACATAAAGACAACAACATGAACCTAATGTGTACCAAAGGCAACATAAAGACAACAACAGGAACTTAAGGGGGACCAAAGACACCATAAAGACAACAATAGGAACCTAAGGGGTACCAAAGACAACAAAAAGACACCAACAGGAACCTAAGGGGTACCAAAGACAACAAAAAGACAACAACCGGAACCTAAGGGGTACGTACCAAAGACAACATAAAGACAACAACAGGAACCTAAGGGGTACCAAAGACAACAAAAAGACAACAATAGGAACCTAAGGGGTACCAAAGACGACATAAAGACAACAACAGGAACTTAATAGGTACCAAAGGCAACATAAAGACAACAACAGGAACCTAAGGGGTACCAAAGACAACATAAAGACAACAACAGGAACTTAATAGGTACCAAAGGCAACATAAAGACAACAACAGGAACTTAAGGGGTACCAAAGACAACATTAAGACAACAACATGAGCGTAATGGGTACCAAAGGCAACATAAAGACAACAACATAAACCTAAGGGGTACAAAAGACAACATAAAGACAACAACAGGAACCTCAGGGGTACCAAAGACAACAAAAAGACAACAATAGGAACCTAAGGGGTACCAAAGACAACATAAAGACAACATAAGGAACTTAATGGGTACCAAAGGCAACATAAAGACAACAACAGGAACTTAAGGGGTACCAAAGACAACATTAAGACAACAACATGAACGTAATGGGTACCAAAGGCAACATAAAGACAACAACAGGAACTTAATGGGTACCAAAGGCAACATAAAGATAAAAACAGGAACTTAATGGGTACCATTGGCAGCATAAAGACAACAACAGTAACTTAAGGGGTACCAAAGACGACAACAACATGAACGTAAAGGGTACCAAAGGCAAGATAAAGACAACAACAGGAACGTAATGGGTACGAAAGGCAACATAAAGATAAAAACAGGAACTTAATGGGTACCAAAGACAACTTAAAGACAACAACAGTAACTTAAGGGGTACCAAAGTCAACAAAAAGACAACAACAGGAGCCTAAGGGGTACCAATCTGTTGTTTGTAGAACTTTTTTTACAAGATTTTAAAAAGAATACCAATTAGGCGGCCATTTTGAAAATGAGTATTAAAGACAACATAAGGAACTTAATGGGTACCATTGGCAGCATAAAGACAACAACAGGAGCCTAAGGGGTACCAAAGACACCATAAAGACAACAACATAAACCTAAGGGGAACCAAAGGCAACATAAAGATAAAAACAGGAACTTAATGGGTACCATTGGCAGCATAAAGACAACAACATGAGCGTAATGGGTACCAAAGGCAACATAAGACAACAACAGGAGCCTAAGGGGTACCAAAGTCAACAAAAAGACAACAACAGGACCCTAAGGGGTACCAATCTGTTGTTTGTAGAACTTTTTTTACAAGAGTTTAAAAAGAATACCAATTAGGCGGCCATTTTGAAAATGAGTATTAAAGACAACATAAGGACAACAACAAGAACCTAAGGGGTACAAAA